AATGTTTCATCTTTCACTTAATTAAAAAGGAAAAATATTTCCCAAAGAACTTCTTCGCAGTTTCAGGTGTTGAATTTTGACCTTTTCATAAGTATTTCTTGATAATCAGTTCATAATTTAAAATTTCATTGCATTTTTTCTAACAACAGGACCTGGGAAGCCTGTGAAAACTTCGTTTTTTTAAAATATGATTGATTTAATTGGATAAATTCAAATTTAAATCAATTCAAGCAAATCTGACAATTCTTTACTAAAATTCAAATTAAATTACAAGAGAGAGTTTAAGTTCAATTTTTTTCCAGATCAAAATCTTAGCCTTTTATTTAGCATCGTAATGAAGATGTCAGGCTTTTCATCGTTGAAAAATTGTTTTTACTCAAAAACAAATGGCTTTACCAGTTTTGGTCACGGTCTTTGACCCTATTTCATGAGTAAGAACAATAAAAAATTCAGCACATTGAAAAAACACCACATTTTAACATAAAAATTGAAATCTTAAAACCAATTCAAGAATCAACCCATGTTAAAATGGGGGAGTTTTTTTTTCAATTTTGCTGATTTTTGTATTTTTCTTGCTCATGAAATAGGGTCGCAGACCGTGACCAAAACTGGTAAAGCGGTATTGTTTTTTGAATATAAACAATTTTCGCAACAAGGAAAAGCCAAATCTCTTCATTTCCATGAATATCTCATCGAGTGTCAATTTCTTCTAATTTTATTTAACACTGATATTTTTAATTTTCAATGTTTCATTTATATAATTTCTCAATATTTGCATTATTCAATTACAATAAACTGAATTTTTCTTTCGCTCTTTTTTCAAATTTATTTGCATTCTCTGTGGAATTATGGGCAGTGATTGCCTCTGTGATTTATCAATAAATATAATATTTGGTGGGTTTTAGCAAAACCTTTTAACCAGACCAAGTGCAAATTTGTTCAAATCGGTTAATGAAGCAGATTACTTTGCTTTTGCTTGGGAAGTTCAAATATTTCTCCTCGTCGCAGAGATAACAAAACTGAACAGACTGCTGAGGGAAAGATAAACCGCGCGCGTTTCACAAACAAAGTTTCCTTTTCGCTCTCGTCGCCGCCATTCGTTTAATTGAAACAACTTGAGCCAGAGAGCAATTGCGCAGCCGAGCATGATCTTCTTCTTCGAACCAACTGCGGCTCTCCTTTCGTACTCAGATATGTAATTATCCGTTTTCTATGTTTGAAAAGTTCGTGCTGCCTTTTTTTTGCAAATCGAAATTTCGCACGAACAGATCATCAAGTGGCCGCGCGCGCCGCAAAAATTATTAATTTTGCCTCTTCCATAATTAACCGAGTCTAATTAAGAGCGGGGAAAGCAGGCGAGCATAAAGTTGAGTAAATACGACGAGTCTAATTAGGCAGGCAGAGGCGTTTTCCCGACGAGTCTCTTTCGTTTCAGAAACCCGAGGACCAAAAACACACACACAGAGGCAGGTGCAGACAAAGCGTAATTGTTGCTGCTTTGATCATTTTTAAATTACAGAGAGACAGAGACGCCTCTTTGACTCTCACCCTTGTCGCGCCGCGTTTTCTCGCAATCAAAATATTGGATTTCTCACGCAATTAACGCCCCAGAACGGCGCAAAAACAAAATCTAACAGATTTTGTTAAAAAATTAATTAAAAACGACATTTTGTAGCAGGATTTTTTAATTTCAAAACGTCAAAATTTCAGTGAAAAAAAACGCTTATTAGTCAAAAAGTTAAATTTTGTGTTCAATTTTAAATCTTTATTTTTTCGTAACGACCGCAACAATTTTTCAGTGAGTTTTGCAATCCAGAGCATTGTTTTTTTTTTTAATTTTCTGTTTAACTCCTTCGAGCAAAGGGAATTTTATTTTCTCCATCCTCGGTGCGGCTGCGGCGGCCGACAATAAAAGTAAAATGGAAAATAAAGCTGCGGCGCGTAAAGGGTCCTAATGGCCCAGCTTTGATTACACGTGCGGCGGCGGCTATTTGAGGTGAAGTAAAAGCAGGGCCGCGTCTCCGTGTGCGACACTTTGACGACCTTTTGCAATAGTAAAAGCTTTTCAGCAATAATGCGCGAGCACACAGCGGGGTAATAATTCAGCGACGTGCAGTCACTTTGCGGCAGTCGAACTACAATTTCAAATTCCACCGGCAAGGACCGATCTGGCAGGCACGGACTGAATTTGTTGTATGAAATAAAATGATTTAATACATAAATTTAAAAAAATCAAATTTCTAACCATGTTCTAACAAAAACTGTACAAAACAGTATAAAATAAATAAAAATAATAAGTACAAAAATAAAATAAATTATAATAAATAATTTGTAATAAATAAATTATAGTAAAATAAAATGAAATTAAAGAACAAAATAAAATAAACAAATATAAAATAATTTATAATAAAAAATATCTAATAAATAAATTATAGTAAAATAAAATGAAATTAAAGAACAAAATAAAATAAAATAATTAAATTTAAATAAATTATAATAAATAAATAAATAAACTATATAGTAAAATAAAATTAAATTAAAAAACAAAGTAAAAAATAAAAAATAAATTATAATAATACAATTTAATAAATTAATTATAGTGAAATAAAATAAAATTAAAGAAAAAATAAAACATATAACAATATGCATTACAAAATTAAAAAAATTATGTTACCTAGAAATAGAAAGAATTGAGCAGTGTTCATTTTAAATTAAAGAATGTTACACAATGTTTACACAATGTAAACATGCACAAATTAGAACTCCTTAAAAATTAATTTTTTATGTATTATGATTTCTTGATGGAAATAATTTTTTATAAATTTCATCATTTTCAAAATTAAAAAAAGTTTTATAAGCTAATTTTTATGGTTTTGTAGTACAATTTCACGATCGAGGATTGATTCATGGTGATTTGAATTTAAAATCTCTTTTCCTTGATGGGTTTTGTGAGTTTAAGAAAATTTGGAATCAGGATATTGTTTTTTTTTTAAACAATAAACAACTTACAAAACTCATCCAGGAATAGCCGACTTAAAATTCAAATCGACATAATTTTTATGAGTTTAAATTTAAGTTAATTTTTTTAAATTCAACCCCTTTCTTGAATTAAGATTTAATAAATGCTAAAAAACTTACATAATATCAAAATATATAAATATTCTGCGCAGTCCGTGCCTGATCAAATTTCCAGCCTTGTCCCACGAGGGATTTGCCGTTCGCAGATATCAAGAAATTGTTGCAGCAAATTAAATCTGCGGCGCCGAGCGAGACCAAAAGAGACGCGCACATACTCGGCCGGCTTTTAATTCTTCGCCCGAATTTTCTCCAAATTAAAACGAGCTGCATGCGGTGAGCGAGTGGCGTGTACGCGAGTCAAGAGGTCGTAAACATATAACTTTTTTTCTTGTTCGCTGGAAAACGAAAATTATTCGCCTAGAGCTATAGTTTTAACGGCGCGCGCGTCTCTGTTTTATGATCACAAACACACACACACAAATTTTGTGCATATTGATGGGAAAAGTTCGCCACTCACAGCAGGTGGCATGTTAACAATTATATTTTTATTGTGCTCAAAACAACTCGTGTCATAAATTCGAAAAGTTGCAACTTTATGTATGCGGCACGTAAGCTCACCGATGCAAAAGGTTTTCAAAGGGAAATTTACAACTTTAACAAAGAGCACAGGAATAAGGATAAATTGTTAATTTCAAGTTAATTAAAATTCTAACAAATGACAAACAAGAAGAAGAAAAAGTTATTTTGTTTTCAGTTTAATACTATTTAAAACAATTTTTGTTAATTTATTTTAATTAAAACTTAATCAAAATTCAGTGTCCATCTAATTGAAGTTTCAACCCATAATTGTTCTAAAATTAAGATGTTCTTCTTGCGAATCTTAAAATTTTAATTCTAAAATTTGTTAAGCCGCTACTTTATTTTATTTAATGTACATTTATTTTGTTAAATGTTCTTCTTGTAATATTATGTACTTTTTGTTTATTATAAAAAATTATTGGCTAGTTGTTCGTAATTAATTTGTAAATTAAAATTTGAGAAAAAAGCAGCATATTGTAAAAATGTGGTAAAAATTAATTTTTTTTCAAGAAATTGACATGTTAAAATTTTGCTGATTTTTTTTAATGGGTGTGACCATTTTGTAATATTATGTCATTGTTTTACAAAAACTAATTACGTTTTGTTATTTTCTGCACAGAAAATTTGCAAAATCGGTTTCAAAGGTCACATGTCACCGAGGTCAATAACCTTAGGTGACCTGAACATCTAGAATGACACATGGTCGGATGCAAAAAGTCAAGACAAACAATTATTGCCATTATACATTTTGTCGTTTCTGTAACAGAAACAAAGTTATCACTGGTTGAAAATTATTTTCTATTGAGGAAAAAGCGACTTTTCGCTGTTTTTTAATATTCAGTTATTATTATAAATTAAACGGTAAAAGTTACCGTTCTGAAAATCAAGTATTTTTTTTACACACTTGGGGCTACATGTTTTTCTATACTGCAAAAAAATCTGAGGGGTGCTTCTTTGCGAAAATTGCGTTCAAAAGTGAAATTTGCAATTTAGTGACCTTGACCTTTGACCTACGCAAGATTTGTCAATGGCAAAGTTGTCGGGGGGGTTGTTACGTCTGAACATGAAAAGATCATACATTTATTCATATTAGGAGCGGAGATAATTGCATTTTTGTGTTTTTGGAAAAATCTGATTTCCCGGAAAAGCACCCAATAATTTTAGCTGAAAATTTAGGAGGAAGCATCTTTTTCCAACCACAACAACATAGATTAATTTCAAAATGGTAACTTTTCATGAACAGTCTCACCCAAATCATTCCTTCTCTTGCTCATGAAATAGGGTCTCACACCGTGACCGAAACTGGTAGAGTCTTTTTTTTTAATAATGACAATTTTTGCAACGAGGAAAAGCCCGATCGCTTCATTTCCAAAATTAATTATCATTAAATTAAGTGAACTGACCTGAGTAGGTTGGCGAGGGTGTCCCTTCGGATGGTGCAGCACTGGTAAATGGGCGCGAGACAGGAAGTCTCGTCGAGGAAGGGTTTGCCGAAGCCGCGGCCGTGGTCCAGGTGCAGCGGGAAGGTGGCGTTGCCGAAGGGCCTGAAGGTCTCGTAGTGGTGCCGGTCCATGTTGCCGGTGAGGAAGTCGAACACAGCCATGTCGGCGAGGTCGAGCATCCGTCGACCCGCGTCGTACGGTGGAATATCGCGCACCAACGAGCAGTACTCGTCATCTGAAAACACACAAAAATTGGATTGTTTTGATGAAAATTATAATTATTGAAAAAAAAATCGTCATTTTGTACGTTTTGAAAGAATTGAGAGCAGTGAAAACGGAAATAAATGGCAATGCTAAATATAAAAAAAAAAATCTATTTATTTATTTTCTTCATGTTTAAATTCATTAATTGATTTTCATCAAAAACTATTCTACACTTTATAATAAAAACTTCTCAACCTTTTCCAATAAGATCGATGTAAATTTTAGATGACAACTGACCTATAGATTATATTTTTCCCTCTTAATAGAGGCGATTTTCAGAAATTTTCCCAATTTTGAGTAAAATTCCCATTTAAGAAATTAAAATAATTTTACCCAATAAGTTAATTTTTATATTTTGGAATGGACTACAAATTAATGCAATAAAAAAAACTATCATCAAAATTCAAAATTGATCGGGCCGTTTTTCTTTATTGCAAAAGCCTCTACTTAATATTTTAGTTTCATATTCTATGAATTAATTCTTAATAAAAATCATAAAAATTAATATAAATCACTGTTTTTTTTTAGATTATTTTACAAGCAGTGTCAAGATTTTATAAATTTTTTTTTCGTGCAATCCGAATGAATGCAAACCCGTACTCTCAGGTGCTGCAACCGACCTTTTGGTTAATATATTTTTGCCTGAGTATAAATAATTTACATGATTTTCACCAAGTTGTTCACTTCTTTGGCTAGATTTGACCTGGATTTGACCCGAATGCGTATGCAAATGGCCTGGAGAAGTGTGGCGTTGGGCGCCGCAGGTGCAAACAAGGGCCTCCACCTGCCCCGGGTCTGATTCTTTCACACACCCAAAAATCGATCGCCTTTTTTTTCCAATTCACTCAGACAATTGATGCACGAATAATCCACCAAAATATGCAGGTGGTTTTGTTCAAGCAGGACCGACTCTATATAATTAATGTCGCCTAATTGAGAATAAACACCGCGCGCGCATAATGTGCCCCTAGTAGAGTGTTCAACGGGAACGGGAAAATAAAATTTCCCGCGGGACTTGCGGGATTCTTGCGGGAACGGTGCTAATCGTGCTGAGCGGGAACAGTGCCGGGAGGAACTGGGACTTGATTGACGGTGCCGGGATTCCCGCGGGAAAATTATAATTGCATCAGATTTTTTCCTTTAAATAGTTTAAATAGCGTTTTACCTGGGAGTGTGATAATTATGTATGTACTTTTTCAATTTAATCAATAAGCGCATGCACACAAATTTTTTCTCTTTGCTGCTTTACACACCATCCGCTCAGGCGCTCATACAGGGAGGAAAAAATAAAAGAGGCGAAAAGAGGCATTTTACTTATGAGCACACCCCCTCTCGTGGCGAGGCGAGGCGAACATGATAGTAAACGAAACTAGCGCTACTCCTATACCCCCCATGTAAAAATAGTGAAATTTTCTCCGAAATACTTAATTCATAAGCATATCTTAATTAACAAATGACTAGCTATTTTGAATAAATTTAATGATGCAACCGGAGCCTTCATTTTATTCTTTTGGATTATTTTGTGTAACTTTTTGAATACCATGAATATTTTATATAAAATTTAAATGAAACTCACGGGAATAAATTATATTTTTGATATATTAACCAGTATTTTGATAAATTATAATTTGGGTACTTCCATCAAAATAACAAGCCTTGAAAAATTTTTTAATTTGATAAAAAAAAAATTATTTTGAAAATCAAATTATGTGCTAACAATTTAATTAATTTTATTATATATTTGTATGCAGGTCATATTCTATTCATCTTTCGTCTAGAATATACATTTTCACTTAATTAGGATTTGGGATCTCTGTCATTTCTTCCAGTGAAATTAATTATTTTAATTTAAGGAATTATTTTTAATTAATTACTGGAGCTTATCAAAGAAGAGCAAATAAGGATAAGCAAACAAAAAACCAAGCTTAATAGAGAAAAATAACCTGGTTTACTTTTCTTCTTTCTATATTAGTGTTTTACCAAAAATATCAACGATATTTATGCGTCTTGAGTCTTGACGACAAAGAATATTATACTGTTTGGCCAAAATAACGCAATATTAAATTCATGAAGGCTCAAGTGAACTCTCTCAAGATTTTTTTCAGGTCTCTCTTGTTTCTCTCATAAGTTTTTAGTTGGCTTAAGAGAAATTATCATTGAATCTTGTCAAATTTTAGTAAAAAATCGAGGCAAAAACAATATCCACTTATACCAGTCTTTAGCACTGCTGTTCGTTTACTGTCATAAGTCGTAGGTGGGCGTTTCCGCCAAAAAAGTGAGTATAGTGAAAAAAGCCTCTATGAACATTGCAACTTGAAACTTAAATTAGGCAGGTCAAAATAATCTTTTCTTCAAAAGATCACATTCACACTTCGGCATTATTAAATTTGTTTCGTTGTAGCACAAAAGACTCATTCTCACTCGACTCGGGACGAAAACGTTCACAGACGTGTATTTAAAAAAATATATGAGCGGGACAGGAAGGAACGGGAATCAAACTACAGGAACGGGACTCCCGCGGGAAAAAATTCCCAATCAAAGAGCAGGAACGGGCGGGAAATGGAAAGAAATTACGGGAAAGGAATCCCGCGGTACCATAATTCGGTCCCGTTGGACACACTAGCCCCTAGTTTATGTATGGCGGGATGCATAATAGTAACAAATGAGAGCAGCGCAAACCGCAAGAGGCACCAGCCCTTATTATCACACAAACATGCATCGCCGCCGCCATCTTAATCTCTGCCCGACTTAATGAAATCATCTGCTCGCCGCCTAATGTGGATTAATTATGCGCGCACACCACATTCCTCAGCCTTTTCGCAGTACAAACTTCTGCTTTAATTCCAAAAAAAAAAAAACATAAGCCGATTATGGAAAAGTCTCTTGACCAATTTTAATGCTTACTTAGGGATTAATCATTTGTAATTTAGTGAAATTTTTAACAAAGCTTTTTTAAACTTGTATCATGAAACTTGAATAGTTAAATAAAAAAATATTTTAAATTTATACAAATCTATGTGCATTTAAGTTGGTTATAAAATTTTCAACGTCACTTGTAACGTTACGAAAATGCATTTTCTGCACTAATTATGTGATTTTATAACAATAAGACTGATTATTTCTTCAATTTCTGACTAAAGAGACTAAAACAGACGAAACTGACAGACTTTTTCTAGTAATAAGTAGGTTTTTCCAGGCTTTTAAACGAAATTTCGCAACAAATATCTTGAAAAGTGAAAAAAAAAAACTATTTCAAAAATAATTTTCTTGCAGATTTCATATTTCAAGCAACTGAAAGCAATTTTTTCGTCTTTTCTTTTAATACAAAAAAGGAAAAGAAAATTATTCACGATATTCCAACTTCCAATTTCAGGAAAGACATGTTTTGAGCTTGTTTTAGAACATTATAAATGATTAGAAATTAAATTTTTTTCTAACAAAATGTTCATTAATTTTGTTCCCGAATGTAAAAAAAATATTCATTTAATAAAATTACCGTCTAAAATGCGCAAAGCCTAGTTATGACGGTTTTAAACTATTTTGATTTGAAAAGAAAAACAAGAGTTGGTTAATTTTTAAGTTAAAATTTATTCTTTTATCCAAACATAAAAAAATTCCTACAATAATACTTGGCCACTTGGGTTAAACAAAAAACAAGTGCATTCTAATCTAAAACGTGTGAAAAGGAAGAGTGGTTATTTTCTTCTTCTAATGCATTAATAAGGCTTTTCCTTCTCCTAGTCCGTTGCGCAAGGCAATAAATAAATTTTATCAGTGGTCGGCGCGGCGCACAATGAATGTGAATGGACTTGGGCGAGCGGCGCGCGGTCTGCGTATCTACACCGACGTCGGAAATGTATAAAGTGGCCGGCGAAGAAAGTTTCCTTTCGCCGTTATCTGCCGGCGCGCAGAATTTTAATCCGGCCTGACAAATGAAGCTGCGAAAGCACACAAGTGGCTGCTGCAATTTCACACCCTTGCTCTCTCCATTTCACGTGTCCGGCGCGCGATAACGAGTGCGGAGCCGCCGAGGGGCGAATCAAACGCGAGGATTAGTAATTTATCACCCCGCTCGGCGCGGCCACACACACCACTTGAGACCTCGGCTCAGCCCGAGATAAAAATTAAAGAAGCGAGCCATTAAAGGAAACCTCGGTGGTGCGGTCGGCCTCCGAGAGGATTAAATGTACGCATTTCCCCTCGGAGGGCGCCAAACAAAATAAAATGTGGAGCATCGTTCAATTTATAGTTGCGCGCATGGTTCAAAATTAAGAGGCGTTTGCTTCAAACCCACGCTCTTAGTTTTAAAATTTGAGCTTTCAAAAATATCTTGTTTTAATAATCAGAAAACTGAGAAATTGGAAAGTCAGAAAATTCATTTGGACGTAATATTATGACCAAAATTTAATGATCCTGATTATCCAGGAAAGAAAAGGTTCAGCTCGGAAAAAAATTCATGACAGTCTGAAATTTTCACCATAGAGACACATTTTCAGAGATTTACCTAGGTTTTCTTCTGCCGCTACCCTTTCCGGGTCAAACATTTTAGAGAAAAGTTTTTCAAATAAACCTAAAAGAAAATTTAATTTTGCACTCACTTTTTGTATTTAAAATTTTCTTGTAAATCCAAAGCGGCAAAATTTATGAATGCGGAAATGTTTAAAAATGAGGTTTTCCGCTCAATGTTAACTTTATAGGTGAAAATCAAACATTTGTCTATAAAAATATTGAAAAAATGACCTTTTATGAAACAAAAAAAGAATTTTTACGTGGATTCAGAAACTGAGCGAGAAAACCAATGCTCGGAAAACGAATTAAAATGTCCAAATTTCAACTTTTAATTGAAAATTTTAATAATTTTTTAAACAGATTCCGAGACTTGCATGATTTTTTTCCGGGTTACATAGAGCAAAATGCTTTTGATTCCTGGACTATGACTTTCCAGTTTTCTGACAAATTGAAAATCTCAGTCCTTCCTAATTCAATTTGGATTTTTTTCAAAAGGTTTGAGCCAAACAATTATCTGCAATCTTGGCTGATCAAGTCGGCTGCAGTTAACGATTGTGCGTGTGTGTGTCTCAACAAAAACAAACAAACCGAGCAAGCAAGGCATGTAATTTATTAATTGGCGCGCACAAAACGGCCGCGTGGGTGCAATTTGCATAAGGGAGCTGCTTGCGATTCGGGTCAGGCGCGCCGGTTGCCTTTTCGCGAGAGCTAGACTGAGCAGAAACACCTTCTTCTTTTTTGGGCCGGCGCGCGAAATGAATTAATTGGGGCTCGGCGGCGTTATCTGAATCACGCACGACTCCCGAGGGACCGCGTAATGGAGAGGCCGAGAGGAGGAGTTTCTTCGGCCACAAATCATGGCCCCCTTTCAATTACCCCCCGTCCGCCCGCCCGCCCATTCCGGCGCGTTGTTTGTTTCGCTGCTGGGCTAATTATGAGCTAGGAGACGAGAAGATTGCCGAGTGATTTAGCGAACGAGCCTCGTTTCGCGTCCGGCACTCTTTTTCGCGTGACTCGAGTGCAAAAGCGAGCGACTCGCCACTCGCTAATCTTGCACTTCAGCAACTCGCAAAGTTCAAAGTGTTTGCACAGACGGCTCGCAAAAAATTGCACGCGAAATTTCAAAATTAGTTTTTAAATTTTTTCGTTTGAATTTAAATATGTAAATTAAATGTTTCACAAATATACGAAAAAAAACTTGTAGTTTTTCAAAAATTCAACTATACAAATTCAAAAAAAGGTTCTGGATCCTGCTATGATTTGATTGTGCTTTTTATAAAATGAAAATTTTAGGCACAAATGTATTCTTCAAATTATGTGATTTTTGAAAAAAAAGCAGTAATACGACTGAATTTTTTCGAATAACTAAAAAATCATCAAAATATGTAATTCCAGTTTTAAAATTTCTTATATTTGATGATTAAATTAAGCCACAAACCTATCAATTAGAAAGAAACCTTCATATTGATGTTATAAATTAAATAAATATCCATAAATATATTGGATGTGAAAAAAAATGAAGCGAACAGAGATTTTTTTCAAACATTAGCAATAAATTTTTACATCGTGGTGACGCTTTATGAATATTAAAATTAATAATTATTCAAATAATTAAATGATAAAAACTAACCTATGGATCAAAGAAAACATTATTAAATTCTATTTATTTTATTAATATTTAATGTAAAAACTTATATTATTTTGATAAAATAAATAAAATGTTTATTTTAAATGTTAAATTTTTATTTAAAATTAGATAATTAATAGAAATTTAATTAAATAACTTTACAGACCTACAAATACAACAAAAATATACATTTTTTTTCTATTTTCAATTTTTTTTTTCTTTTTTGCTTCCTCCTTTAATTTTATCTATTTTTTTCTTCATGGAACAAATTGGACAAATAAACAACAATAATGAATGGATCATTAAAAATTTAAGTTTTTAGATGAATGAAGTGAAGAAAACGTGACTCACCGAGCTCCCACTGTGCCTTTCTCCGCTTGTGGTAGGACCTGCGCCAGGGGTGGCGCCAAACCTTCCTCGGTCCGAGTTCCTTGTCGGGCAGGAAGGCGGCGAAGGAGCCCTCGAGCATGTCCGGGTTTCCGCAGACGGCGTGGGCTGTATCACAGTAGTAGCTGCACTTGCCGTGGAAGCACAGGTTGTCCGACGGCGACACGAAGAACGTCTTCAGCAGTTCGGCGTCGCCGATGTTGTAGATCTCGGTCGTCATGTTCAGCACCCGCCCCACCACGGGCATCGCGCGACGGAACCCGAGAAGTCTAAATCAAAAAATCAGTAATTTTGCATAATATAAAATATTTAAAATGAATAAGTATCTTGAAAAACACAAAAAGAGACTAAAATTGAAAAAAGAGACTTTTTTAAAATTAATTTTGGCAAAACTTCGGATCTTTAAAAATCAAGATTTTATTTAGAATCCCAATGGAAGTCATTCTGTGACACATCTGGACAATTCAAGACTTTCATGAACTTTTAGTCTACATTTTTGTATAAAATTTATAATAAAAAACCAAACTCTGTACCAGTTGGACCCTAAAACGTTCTCTTCTTTAGAGAAAAAGAAAGTGAATTTTCCACCGGTCAATACAGTGATAATTTGAAAATATTGATGGCGCAGTTATTGTAAAATGATAAATTTAAATTAAAATACTTCAAACCAAAAAGTCAAAAATTCTTCAAATTAATTTTAAGCTTTCATTTGTTTCAAATTCAAAATATATAAAAATTATGACAAGTAAATAATTATCTAAAATGAGAACATTTTAAATGAAAATATTGAATAGCTTAAGAAAAACCCTGGATAAAAAAATGAAATGAAATAAAACAAAAATAAATTAAAATAAAGTAATATAAAATTAAATAAAATAAAAATAAATTAAATTAAGAATTAAGAAAATTACGCATTAAATGTTAATATTTTTATTTTTATTAAAAAATCATGCAAAATATAAAATCATTAAAGATTTAATAATGATGAGCAATTCGTTATTTATTCCCCACAGAAATTACTGCACTCTATTAAAAAAAAAAAAATTAAAAAAAAATGAACCTGTGTTTTCTGTAACATAAAAATATAGAGAACATGAAAAAGCGACAACAACGAGTTATGCAACACGCTCGACATTCACGTAAGCGTCGTTGCATATATACCTCTTATTTTTTTATTATTTATAATTGAAATTTTCGTTGGTGCAAAAGGGTTGATTGAAATTGGCCCCGGTGAACAAGAGCGACAAAGTGTCAATGGGTTATCGATTTGTTTAGGCAGACGAGGGCCAACCACTCCTCCAGATTCAATTAAATTCTCTCACACACAATAGCCTGCTGGCCGGGGTGTTTGCTCAAAGTCAGAGGCGAGAAGCACCATTAATCTTGTATTTGCCAGCCAACACTTTACATAGTAGTTTGGCCCGATAAGCGGCGGGTTGCTGTCAAAGGACACATAAATAAGCCCTTGTGTGTATCGATTTTATTCGCGCGGCTGACAAAAACTTTTCAGCCGACAACAAAACTATAATGCATGCGGGTGGAAAGAAAGTTGACTCACCTGTCCAGATGAAAGGCGGCGATCTCGGCCGTGTGACGCTCAAAGTCGGTGAAGTAAAAGTGGTTCGGCAGGGTCTGCGTGTCCCGTGGGAATCTGCAATCATGGTTTAATGGCCCAAGTTAGATAATAATAATCATCAGAAATATTGAAGAAAGGAGAAATATTTGAAAATTTGCGTTTATTTTAATTATTATATTACAAATTTAATGCTTTTTTATCTCCATATGTGTTGGTTAAAATTATTTACAAAATAAAAACAAAATATGCAAATTTAAAGATCTTAATTCTTTAAAATGGTGACACAAACCATTTTTTTTTTTTTTTTAAATAGAATTGACTTATTATAATTTCATTTTTTTCGTTCACTTTTGATAGTTTGGGGTTGCTTATTTTTCTTTGGCAATGTATAAAACAAATAAATAAATGAGCAGAAAGCTGGGTTCCAATTCTGTAAGAGGAATTTACCTCATTGTCAGACTTAGGAAATTAAACCCCTGATGTTTCTTTTGTACTTTCTTGTTTGCCGCAACGAAAAATAATAAATTCTTCTTTGTTTGAAGAAGTTGACACTCGCGGAGATGATCGTGGAAATGAAGCGATCGGGCTTTTCCTCGTTGCAAAAAATTGTTTTTATTCAAAAACAAACGGCTCTACCAGTTTCGGTCACGGTCTGCGACCCTATTTCATGAGCAAGAAAAAATACAAAAAAACCGAAACTGGTACAGCCGCTTGTTTTTTAATAAAAACAATTTTTTGCAACGAGGAAAAGCCCGATCTCTTCATTTCCAATAAATTCTTCTTTGAACAGACTTTTTATTCCTCTTTTATAAAAATTATTCTAGTTCTGATTGTGAAATTGATTTGAATCGCAATTTAAGTCACATTAAGTGCATTTATTTTTTAATTAATTGATTTTATTTTTATTTTAGAGGGGTCAGATTCCAGATCATATCAATGCAATTAGTGAATCAAAAGATCAGATGTGCAATAAAATTTAAATTTAAGGTTTTAATATTAAATTTTACAAAATAAATTATTAATTTTGATTATTTTGATGGGCAAAGATTCAATCAGAAATGTCAAAAATTTGACTATTTATATTATTTGTTTGCTTTCCTCATTGATTAAAAAGATTTATCCAATCAATCAGTGAATCAATGATTAATTTTATTAATCTAATTGCCCCATTCAAATCCAATCTTAAAGTTTCTTCCATCATCTGATAAACATCCATCCACTTTAAGCAGGGTGAATCTAGTTTTAACCGCAGTTGGGGGTATATTGAAAGCTACTGATCGATCTCCTACTTTTGCGTTTTAATTAACCAACAAAGGTGGTCGCTTCCTCTCATTATCCGCAGTGTAATGAAAATGATGCAAATGAGATGAATGAATAAACAGGCGCGCGCCAATCAAATCGATTTTCAAATTAAACGACGAAATTGCCTACAAATGGATCGATTTTGTCCGCTTTCGGGCCGTCCCATAATTGATTTACCTCGAATGTACAAAGCCCATCCGCATGTGCACAGTTGTTGTTGTTGTTTGCTGCACCAAAAGCTATTTATGTGGCCAAACAATTGCCTCTCGAGAATAATTACTACCCACACGGCCCGTGCAAAATGCACTCCTGCGCCCATTGTATGTATGTGAACGCGAGGCCAGATTTCTGAGCCGCAACTCGACGAGAGCCCTCGTCTTGTTATCTCTTTGCAGAGAGAGCGACCCGGAGAATGCACTCGAGTCTCTCTCGACGCGAGAGCAGACATTGTCATGCTAAAATTCGCTCTCTGCTCTTCGCAAGCGACACACAAGTAAATACTGCACACGTCGTCTGCTGTCAATGGACAGAATTTCAGTGCAAAAAAGGGTCTGGGAAATTTATTTGAATATAAGAAGCTTCGGAATTCAGAAAATACGTGGTTTTTCCAAAGAAGCCTGATTGAAAGAGGGAGTTTGTGTATAAAAAAATTTACATAAAAAATTTAGTTTTGGTCTGGTTTTGGTATAAAATTTAACGGAATTTTTATTGGGTGCTGAGCAAATCAATGAAATCAAATGTTTTTTTTCTTCTGACTCAATATTCAGGAAAAAGAATGAAAGTTGAATGGCCATTTTTAATCACGGTTGTTTTACCAAGTATTCTACTTTGCAGGAAACAATTATTATTATTGTTGTTTATTTGTCCAAATTGTTACATCACATTGTTTACTCTCTCTCGAAAAGTTTTATTATATTAAGTTATAAAAATAAACAACGAATATCATGTACATGTATTATATAAATATTAAAAATAATTAATAATTAATTATAGAATAATATTATAACAAATTTTTATCTGTGAAATAATAAAATTATCAAATATTATTTAAAAATAAATTATTTAAATAAATAAACAAATTAAATAATATAACAGATAAAATAGACATAATAGTTAAACGTGTCATAAGTATTTTTTTTCTAAATAGTTGAAGAAATTAAAATATATTTTATTCTAATGACTTCAATTCAAACAACTTTTGCTTTGAGAATTTAAAACCCAAAGAAACCACTCGAAACGGGAAATAATTAAATTAGTACTGCAACTAATCGCCTTGACGTGGAATTACGTTCCGAGACAACGAGATATTTGAGACAAAGCCGGTGTAAAAAAGTTAGAAAAATTCCTGTTGTGATAATAAACAATTTTAATTGAGGGCGAAAATTTCCCAAAATTAAATACGGACAGATTGGGGTGGTTTTAAAGAATTTTAATTTGGGAAATTTCCGCCCTCAATTAAAATTGCTTATTATCACAACAGGAATTTTTCTAACTTTTTTACACCGGCTTTGTCTCAAATATCTCGTTATCTCGGAACGTAATTCCACGTCAAGGCGATTAGTCGCAGTACTAATTTAACTTTTGCTTTCTAAAATAAAAATAAAACTTTTTGACAACTCTATTTTTTTTTCTTTAATCAAAAGTCGATTTCGTCGACACTTTCATTACAAAAGCGTCTGTTTGAATTGCAGTCTGGCAATGGATGGTGTGTGGTGGATAATCTCGGGGAGAGAGGCGGATTGTGGAGACGAGAGATGGCTCTTTAATTGTCAGCTCGGCGAGGCGAGGCGAGGCACACACACGTGCGCCAAAGTGCGAGTCTTCAATCAAAGTTCAGCAACAGCCTGCGACGCTGATTGTGCGCGCCGTCGGCAAAGCGCCTTTCGCAAACACACAATGCACGACTTGAAAAGAAAGAAACCGCGTCCGCAATTCGGCAGCAAAGTCGGAAAAAAAGACACATTTGGGCTGCAAGACGGAGGGTGGGTCCGAATATCAGAGAAACGAATCTAGAAACGATTCTAGAGAAAAGATTCTCGCGCAAAGATTCTCCAGGATCGTTTCTGCCTTTAAAATTCAACTAAAGAATCGTTCTTTGAGAATCCTTGCGCGAGAATCTTTTCTCGAGAAACGTTTCTCTAGAATCGTTTCTCTGATATTCGGACCCACCCGGAAAGTTTTCTTCTTCCGTGGAAATTATTCGCTTCCTGATTTGCTCCTCGGTTCAATTAACTGCGATTAATTGGAGGTGTAGCACGCACTCTTGAAAGTCAAACGATCTCTCGCAAAATCAATGAACCGAAACTCCTTCAAGTGGAAAGTCGTGTTCAAGTTGTGCTCTAATGAAACCGAGAGTTCCGTACAAATGTCAACAACGCAAACACTCGATGAAGTAGCGACGTGCGTGTTTGGAGCCAACAAAAAAACTATTAGATAAAAAATTAAATAGAAATAGAAAATTTTTTATTGAAAGTCCGCTACTTTTCATCGACGAGCCTTTTGTTTAATTTATGGAAAAGTTTGGAATGTTTTGAGTAGAATTTTTATTTCGTAGTGCAAAAATGTAGCTTTGAAGTTCTTTTGCTGAAAAATTGTGTTTAAATTATAAATTACAACTGTTAAACTTAATTAAAAGTGTTTTTTATCCACACTGCTCATGAATTATGATCAAAGTCAAGTAATTTCCATTATTTTCTTTCCTATGAAGCAATAATCGACCTTTGCAATTTCAAAACGTTTGGCACTCTAATTCAAATAATCTTATTTCTTTCACTTTGATTAATTATTATTTCATTTTCTGTCTCTTCTCATAAGAACAAAAAAAATCTTGTAAATATTTTAATTTTCCTTTTCCCTGCTGTTTGTTTCAATGGACAAAATTGTAAATAATTGTATAAATCAATAATAAAATTTGATTTTTAAGTTAAAATTTAACACTTGATTGCGATTATCAAATTTTGTTGAAGAATGTTTCAATTATCTCCTCTATTTATCTACTTGGGGTCTAGTGAAAAATGAACATCAAAAAAGATGATTTAGCAACTTTTGTGCGGATCAACATAAGGAAAATTAAATAATAAGACGGGCAGGTATTTTCTGACAATAAAAGAGATAAAAGCACGTTGAAAGAATAAGATTTTCAGCTGGGAAATAATTGAATTTAAGAACATTTAACCAGGAAGTAATATTATTTTCCAAAAATTCTAAAAATCAATTTTTGTTCTTCAAATAAATAAATAAATTAAGTTTGATAAAAATGTTCTTAAATAAAATTAGGCCCCCCAGGCGTCACTAAAATCCTGGCCATTTATTTTTGTTAATTTCAACTTTGGTTTGGTATTTTTTTTTTAAATCTTTATTTATTTTCAAATTAAATATAAATAGCTCAAAACGTCTCCTTTTTCCACCGCAAACACTTCCAACTCCATTCCAAGAGCGATATCCTTCTCATTGTTAGTCAACTTGTTCTCCGCCTCGAGTTAATTCTTCAGTCGACTTGACAGTCACCGAGAGGTCTCGTCTTTCAGCGGCGAAACCGAGCACGGGCGCAATATAAAATTACAAGAGGCGACGAGGTGAAGACGAAACCCCAAAAGTTTCAGTGCCAAATGAGAGATGAGAGAACCACCCTGTCTGTTTTCGGCGTGTTGCTCGTCGAGGTCCAAAATTGAAAAAAAAAAAAAAAAAAAAAAAAAAAAAAGAGAGGAAGACGGAGAAAAAGTTAAAAGCGACGAGAGCGAGTTTTTCTCTGCCACGAGAAATTATTTGTTTGCGTTTTTGTGCTCGGGGCTCGGAAGATGTCTCGGTGATAGAGCACGCGTGTGGAAGTTTTTATTTCAACCGAGTGGAAAAGCTGAGATGCAAATGGAGCGGCAAAGCAGATTGTGCGGAGAGATTCAACTATATGAAATATTATTCCCTTTTCTGCGCCGTTGGATTCTTTTACTTTAAAAGTTTGCGTATTTCATGACGAAAAAATTTATTTTCGTTGTTATTTTCTCTTTAAAAGACATTTTTAAATTTTAAGACTTACATTTTATAAAAAAACCTTCATTTATTGGAAAAATATCGGATTAAGGTGTAAAAATCTGAATTAAATTGAGATCCCGTTGAATTGGCTCTGCAAATTGTTGGGAACCGATGTAGATGAAAAGCGACGCCGATAAATCCGATCGGGCCCGAAAAGTGTCGCTGCAGCACCGAGGCAATAATTCAGTTAGCAGTGTCGGCGCGGATTAATTAATCGCGTGGGTCGGAGGGCGAGCGGCCGAAAGCATAATGGCTTGTCCGTCCGACGGGCCGTCCCATTAAAATCGGCCATTGAATTTCTCGCCGGCGGGCGCACATTTGTCATTCTGCGCGAGTGAAAAGTCGAGCGAGCGGCGCCGACGATGGAAAAGCTCGGTTTCAGCGACTCTGTCAAATCCAATGCCGACAAGAGTTTGTTTCAAACACACTTTTGCTTTTTACGTTAAATTTTTTCGCTTCCGTTCACTTTTGATCAAAGGGAGAAAAAATGGAATACTCTCTTGAGCAGCTCTCAAGGGAAAAGCCACACAATTTCATTGTTTATTTTTTTACAACATGAAACAAAAATGATTTTAAGACAAGTTAATAAAATAAAAATGTTTTGAAAATATATTACAATTATTTTACTACTATATGATTTTAAGATATAAAAAAAATCAGTTATTGCAGCAAATTTTGAAAATAAAAAACAAATCAACTAGAACACAAATTTAAAAAAATAAATAAATAAAAATTATAAAAGTCAGACACAAAATTGTAGCGAAATTGTAGCGAAAAAAATTAAAAAAAAAAATCTAAACTTTTCCAAATCAAATGATTTTTACTCTTTTCTCGGGAACCATCAATAAGGAAATTGCAGCAAAATATGAAGGATTTTTAATTAAAGTTCCATAAAAAACAAGTAAAAAAAAAATAATAATAATAATAATGAGAAACTGGGTGATGATATCTAGAACCAATAAGAAGCTCTCAAGAAAAAGTTTTCTAACTCGTTAATCTGCTGAATTTCACTTTTAGAAAGATCCATTTAAAATCCATTTAAAATCTTTCATTCACTTCTGACCGAAAAAACTCCCCTCTTGTTTGTAACTTAAAGACCCACTCCGGTCATTTGTATTGCTCTTTATTCTGAAAGATTGCTAAATTTCGAGTATATCTTGTGAAAACACTATTTGAAAATTCCAAACCGTTGCGTCTCATTCAATAGAAAACCTAAATATGAGTGATTCGCGCGAAAAAGTGTGAGAATTGAGTAGCCAATCAGATCCATCAGTTTGTTCCAAAAACTACAGAATTTGGTCACATTGGCGCTGCGATCGCTGATTTTGCCACAAATGCCCCACGGCGCTGTGCAGAAAACTTGGCAAAATCAGCGATCGCAGCGCCAATGTGACTAAATCCTGCAGTTTTTGTACAAAACTAATTGATCTGATTGGCAAATCAATTCTAACACGTTTTTCGCGCGAATCACTCGTATTTAGGTTTTCTTTTGATTGAGACGCAACGGTTTGGAATTTTTAAATAGTGTTTTCACTCGAAATTTAGCAATCTTTCAGAATAACGAGCAATACGAATTACCAGAGGGGGTCTTTAAATCTTTTATTTTTTTTTCATCTTTTTCAAATTGGCCAGCATAAAGTGTTTTTCATCTCGATATATTCGATTGATTTCCATTTCCACTTTAAATATTTCTTTTTCCCGCACTTCTCAAAAGTTGATTTGTTTAGAAAGAAGTCACGATTGGTTTCGACAAACAGGGCGCGAGAGCGAAAACATCACACAAGAGCACTAACTCGTTTATGTGGCGCGCAAATAGAGGCTTCGCTTTTTCTATTCCTGCGCTTGCATTATACATGCATGTGTTCTTATTCGAAAGAGAAAATTATTTTTCAAAGGCCCGTCAAATTCAATTTCCTCTTATTACGGCGCGGTTTGTTTGTTTTCTCGCTTTGCATGCCAAATCAAGAAAATCTGCTGCAGCTCCCCTTAGCAGTCGATTGTGTTTTCATTTCGAGACGACAATGCAAACAAACAGAGAGAAAATCCCACGGTGGCGCGCGACTTTCCTCATAAATTGCATGACTGATAAAAGCACTTGTTTGTGTTTCTATTTGTTCGAGCGCGACAGAAAAGAAGTTTGAGACGCACAAACTTGAAAATAGATTTCAGATGCACCAAAGAGGACAAAATTAAATTTCTTTAAAAGAAGAAATTGGTTGAGATGGATGGAGGTTGATCAAATTAATATAGAACCACAATTTTTGGCAATTTGTGAATTAAATTTGTAAAAAAAAGCAAAACTTACCTCATGGGTTTGAACAGAGCCTGCGATCCGTCGTCATAATCAATCACAAGTTTGATTTGAGTTCCACCATCTTTTTGAGCTGAAAGCAGAACAATTCATAGTCAAAATTTTGTTTAAACTCTTCGTAGATTTAAAAGAAATAAGCAGTTTACCATTACAATTAATTTGCAGATAAGTTTACTTCTTTATTCCGTCTAATTGCAAAAACTTTATAATCGTAATTTATAGCACTGGATTTCTGCCGAGTATGGTAATTTTTTATAATCCAACAATATAACAATAATCTTTTTATAAATAAAATTATGTTCTTATGAATTTCAATGTTTTTTTTTAATTTAAAAAAAATTAAACAAGCAACGTGCTTTTGACACATAAACTTTTCAGGTTATTATTCCACATAATCTGCATGACATGCGGTATTAAATAAATAATATTTCTGTCAAAAATTGTTAATATTTACTTGAGATCAATTTCACTCCTAGCAACACAAATTTTGGGCTTCATATATACGAAAATTTTATTAAAAATATATATAAATTAATATAAAATTAAATTAAAAATAAAAATAGTATTCAAAGAAATCTACAAAATAGTTAATATTAAAATATAATCTAATTTAATTAGATTTAAGATTTTTTAAATTAACCAAAGTCATATTCTGGCAACATTTCTAAGAAATTGAAAGGCTGCGGGCGCGAGGAAATGAAAAGAGAAAATGAATTGCGTCTTTTTTCACTTTTAATTTCCCTCATTTTTTCCAATTTCCGCCGTACCTCGTCGTCACCGCGAGAAAACGATGTCTCTGTGCAAGAAATTGTCAAGTTCACTTTCCATTAAAATTTCAATCTCGCGTGTCTTCTCGGAAATGAAATTTATGCTGTATCTCTTTTGCGGCGCGCACGTGTTCTTGTTTGTACATCAATATTTGGGCTCGTCGTCAGCAGTGCGTTTGACGAAAGAGAGATAATAAAAGACAATGGATTCGAGAGAGACTCAAAGAAACTCGAGATGAGGGATGGAGAGGCTGCGCGCCGAGAATCATGAAACCAGATTTTCTTTCTCATTCCTGCGGCGGCGAATGAAACGGCCATCGGGCTTTGTTTTGCTCTTCTTGCTCAAATAAGGCGTCTCGCCGACATCGAGAGTCGTTTGCATTCGCGGCAGAAACTCTTTTGTTTCTTGCGTAATTCCAAAATGAAGTGAGCAGAAATCTTGTAAACAATGTTATTTAAATCAAATGAAATTTAATTATTTGAAAAACAAAATTATGTGTAAAATAAAAAAATGGAGATCAAATTGCAAAAAATTCAGTTTCTGTATTCACATTAAGTTTCTTTTGGAAAACCATAATTATTGTTTTTTCTACGTTAAAAATAACATTATTGTAGAAAATGATGGTTTTAGACTTTGTGGAATCTTTCACACAAAATAAAAATTCGCTAAAAATTTTTAATTTTAACAATCTTTAGACTATATATTCTTAACTTTCTGGACTATTTTTAGACTTTCTAAGGCATTAATAATTGACAAGGTTAAGCCAAGGCTATATATTTTATGAAATCTAACTCAATTCGTTTCAATTTTGCAAGCAATGGTTTTTCGTAAATAAATTTATCACTTAAATTAGAGTGAAAATCAGTTGGCGTGATAAATTCCAGAGTAAAATTATGTCAAAATATCTACATTAAAAAAAATGGCAGCTAAAAAGTTTAAAACCCTTTTTTTATTGTGTTCAAAATTAGCCTAAAGTGGGACATTTAATTACAATTAATCATCAGTCATTAAGATATTTCATGAATGATCTAATTAAACTAATCTAACGCAATCAATTGATCGATTTTAATAGTAAAAAATAATTAAGCAAGAGCTTTAATTATCATTTATAGTCCTTTTTTACACATTAATTAGTTTATTTATTGATTTTGAGTTAAATATGAAAAAAATTGAAAAAATTTCAGCAAAAATTGTGCAAAAATAAGTCATCACGTTTTTTCGTCTGCTGTCAGTGGCGGCCAATCTAGGCGGCAAACAAGGGCCAATTATTTTTTCGCTAATTGGTCACCTGTCAATTTCACGAACTGCCCTGCCAATCGCATTTGCGAGCAAAACAATGGGGAATAATTCACACTCACCGACGTGCACGATTTTTCTAGTGGCCATGTTGTGCAAAAGCTTGTCAACCAGAGGGTCGCCCTTCGGGTACAACTCGAGCTGCGAAATTCCGTACTGGAAACGCTCCAAGATGGTCATGTTTTTCCTGCGAACAAACAAAATCGTTTTTTAAAACGTTTGCAAATCCCGCCGAGGAAAAAGCAGATGCCAATCTGGCCAAATTGGATTTCGGGCTATCTCTTTTTTTTCAAAAGCGATTTTTCAACCCGCGCCGCTGTTTTTTTTTTATCGCCGGGCAATTAGTCGGACAAAAAGGGTTAACCGCACCAGCAGGCATTTCCGCTCTCTCAAGATGCAAAACGAATAATAATGTACCCGGCCAGAGAGCGAGGAGAGTGACTAACGCTTTAATTTGCTCCATTAAGCAGCGCCGAGAGACCGACAAAGCTGCAGTTCTCGCGTTTCGTTCTCGGAAAACGAGACCACCAAGAAAACGGCCGCGAATTTATGCCCGCGCGCGCGAGCAGGAAGAAATTGCGTTTAATTTTCTCGGCTGCGCGGACGGATTTTACGAGACTGGTTGGTGTAATTGCAAAAAATGGGGATCTTATATTTTCCGACCCTAAGTGCGTCCGAAATTGAATTTTCAAACGAAGCAAGTCAGTTTCCGTGAATTTTATCAATTGACTCTTTCCCTTCTTAAAAGTTTCAAAGCAGGAAAGGAAATCGTCTCAATAAACGCAAATTTTATATATTATTTCATTTCAAAATTCTCTTTGTTCTCATTCCGTGTTTATTTATCAGCAAATGAAGTAATTATAAGTGATTTCATGATTTCACTGTATCAAATTTGTGTGATGACACTGTTGACAGTAATGGAGTTCATTGATTTCCTATATCTTGAAAGTGTCTTGTATTGCAATTAATATAAAATAATTTATATAAAACTTTGCCATGAACAATATTTTGTTAGTTAAATAAATTAATCAAAAATTTAAAATAAATAATATTCAAATTGATAAGTTATGTTTTAATAATGTTTTATTTTAATCAAATAAATGTTAAAAAAATTATTTAAAAAATATTTACCTAAATTTTATTTGCCTACAATAGTTTTAATTTTTTTTAAGTTATAGATTTTAATTTTCTGTAACTTTACATTATCATTATCAAATTTTGAATATTTCAAACCGTTTAAATTTTATTGACTTAAGGCGTGATTCTGCATTACAATATTTATACTTTTGACATCTACAAAGTTAAAAGCTGCAACGACACAAAAATATAAAGTGTGTCTTTCTCCCTTTCCAAAAGTTCTTAGTCGCCTGACTTTTTCTTTGCAAAAGATTTTGTGCTTAATTACGTGTCAATTCAATTAAATATATTTATAATCCAAATTCGATATTATAGTACACAAAGGCGCAACCTATACTCGTTTGCATTTAAGTAAAACTCATAAAAAGTAAGAAAATATTGCCCACGAATTCACAATTTTCTATTTAATTCTACGTTCAATTATCAGGAATTAAAGTACTTTCAAATGCGCTGGATATTTTTGAACATTGGCAAACAAATGTGCGATTGGAAAAAATTTTGAGTTTAGAAAATTGCATAAATACAAATTTGAGAACATCTGGGTTTTTTTTGTTTTTGCTTTTTTTAATGAAATTCGCAGCAAAAATCCTAATAGACATTATGATGTGCATAAAAAGTTATCTTTTCATTTCTTTGCCTTCCAGCGACTTTGGTTTTTAACCTTTTCAGTACCAAATTCCAATTTATTATTCAAAATATTATCATTTTTATTCTTTTATGATCCCTAATTTTGTGAAATGCTTTGGACCAATTCATCTTCCAACTGCATCGCGATAAAAACACGATTTCTCTTCTATGTTCTCGTCTTTGCAAAGGCTCAAGCCGCGCTGATTGCGATTTACAGCCACAATACTTTTACGGCGCAGTTTATGTCCAACTCTTCTTGTTCGCCCCTCGACCATAAAAAATGCCTCTGCCTGATGAGAAAAGCGACCATATTTATTTTTCGCAATTTTTAAGCTTGTTCGTTTTTTGTTTTGAAGTGCAAATATTTTGAGTACAATTTAAAAGGTGGTTTGTTTTGGAGGTGTTGCCGCGCCTAGTCGTTTTTTTTTTATAATGGCTGGTTCAATTAATGAGCTTGTATCTGATAAGAGGGTCCTCGCGGTCGAACCGTTCGCGTGCCTCACGGAGGAAGCAAAACTAATAGAGATGTCACAGCTTAACACCGCGCCGAGAGCCAGACTCACTCGACCCACCAAACACGCCGCCAATCCCAAATAAATAAATCGCACGCAGCCGACACTGCTGAGTGAAAGGTCAACACACCACAACCAGATCATTTGGTTTACCGATCAATTTTTTTTAAGAGAACAAATTATTTAAAAGTGTTTTTTTTTTTAATCAAAAATTTAAAACAGGACGTATATTTTTTGTTAATTTATTTAAAAAGGTCAGGATTGGTAGTAAAAATTATAAAAAATTCAAAATATCAAATATTAATTGTAAGAATCCTTATTTATAATAACGATTTTTAAGTACTTTTTTTAACTTAAAGATCCACTCCGGTCATTTGTGTTGCTCTTTATTCTGAAAGATTGCTTAATTTCGAGTATATCTTGTGAAAACACTATTTGAAAATTCCGAACCGTTGCGTCTCAATCAAAAGAAAACCTAAAAATGAGTGATTCGCGCGAAAAGCGTGTGAGAATTGAATAGCCAATCAGATCCATCAGTTTGTTCCAAAAACTACCGAATTTGGTCACATTGGCGCTGCGATCGCTGATTTTGCCAAGTTTTCTGCAGCACCGTGGGGCATTAATCACCCGTTTTTAAGTTTTCTTTTGATTGAGACGCAATTGAGACGGTTTGGAATTTTCAAATATGTTTTCACAAGATATACTCAAAATTTAGCAATCTTTCAGAATAGAGAGCAATACATATGGCCGGAGAGGATCTTTAAATTTTTGTTATTTAATTAAAGGTCTGGATTGGTAATTATAATTTTATAAATAAATTCAAATCCTGCTTTATGATAACGATTTTTGAGTAATTTTTAAACAACAATTGTCAAAGTTTTTGTAAAAGAGTAAAAATTATGTCCAAAAATGTTTTCGAGTAAGGAATTTTGAACTAGTTATTTGCAGACTAAATTTTTTTTTGCTTATGTTTTAATTTCTGACCGTCCATTGCAGATGGAATTTGCCTTTCAGAGCAGCTGTTGTTTTCAGAGGAGCTTCGAACTCTTGCCTTTAGTTGGTGAGGCAGATTATTTCATCTGCAGGCGAGACCGTCTGTGGATATCCTTGCAGTCGTTAAATTTGCATATAATGTGCAATAATTCCCATGTACAACTTGCGATATTTATGACCGACGAAGCATTCATTGTGTTATAATAAATTTTGTAATTTTTATTGTGGCCATAAACGTGGAATTACACATTAATATGCTGCATTAATAGAGTGTTAGAATTCAAAAAGTGGAGCATTTTCCTGGATTAAATTAAAATTTAAAAGTAAATTATCTTTTATAAATAATTGTTTACAATTCTGTAATGTATTTTATTTATAATTTTAAAACTTAACTTGAATTAATTACATCTCAATTCAAATTCTGAACGTGTATTTTCAATATTTAATGCTAACAATGGAGTTGGATTTCATGAATTTTTGTCTTTTTTCATTTTTTCTGTGCAACGACGATTCACAATTTTTAATAATCTTCATTTACTTTTATATTTTTCATAAATCAAAATTGCTTTGCTGTAAGGAAATTGCTCACTTTCTGTATAAAATTGTTTATATTTTTTATAACATTGAACATTTGCAAATTAAAACAAATTTAGTGTAACTTAAATTACTGCCCGTATATTTTCCGGGTTGAAAAGTATTACAAATGCTAAAAGCGTGCGCAAACGAAAATTTAACTTTGTCCGAGTTTTTCCTCCTCGGCTGGTACTTTTTGCAGCGTTGAGAGCAGCCCTTTTAGTTCGACCTATTAGCCAGGCCGCGGATTATACTCGGGCGACGCGCATTAGCACTTTTTGCTCTTCCCCCCTTTTTTTTAGTTTTTCGGCGGCCAACGACACACTCGGCCTTAAAATTAATTTAATTACGGCCGCGAGAGGGAAAGAGATGAATCCACGCACGATTCATTGCCGGGGCCGCGTTATAATTCATTTCGCAGCTTTTTTCAACTAATCCTTTATTTGCCCCGTTTAAAAAACGAGGACGCAGCACCTGACACATGGGAGCATGACATTCGTATAAACCAAGAGCAGCAGGTAAATCCGCGCTAATTTATGGCGCCGGCCAATTAATACGCTCGCCGCTCTAAACGGACGTGCGGCCGGCAACCCGCCCGACAGCCACTAACTAAACCCCAAACCACCTGAACACAAAACTATCTACGCAAATTCCAAAAAAATTTAAATTTAAAAAACAACGCAATTTCAAATCCACTACAGATCCAATACGTCAAAAATTAATGCAGGGAATTGAATTGAAAAACAAACAAAATTGATAAATTCAATGAAAATTTAGAGTGAAAATTATAAAAATGATAATAATTCAATTTAGGAAACAAAAGTTCCATTTTAAAATTTAAAAAAGCTTTTTATTGAAACTATGTTAAGTCAAAGATTGCAAAAAATATTCACTGCTAACATGAGTGGTCTCGACTTGAACCGCTCATTATGCCGCCGAGTGTAAATAAATTCACCGATCGCACATTTGAATACATCTATCCGAGATTGTGCAATGTTTTGCCGCAAAATCTAAAAAATCTGCGCTCTAAAAATGATGTCAAATTTCAAATTAAAAAATTGTTTCTTTCGCTGTTGTAATTTTTTCATAAAATTTTATTTTTGTAAAAACTCGCATGTAAAAATATGTGAATAGAGCTGAAGTGCTTGGCTTTTAGCCTTGCGCTTTAGTCGCATAAGCAACGGCCGATAACTCCGATTGGAGTTGGCCAGACTTGTATTTTCTTTTCAAATAAATATACTTTATTAAAAAAACTTGAAAACAGTCGGCAAAAAATGTTTGATAGTCACGAGTCAGTCAAGTCATAATTTATCATTAAGAAACTAAGTACATAACTAATATTCGC